ATGTATGTAAAACTAAAAAATAGTTCTGGTAGGTACTTTCTTTTACATTTACTATCTAAATATTTTATGAAATACTAAATCATTCTTGTCCCTAATAAAATGACCCAGTTAAATTCATCTAATACGAAACAATTTTTCGTTCCGTCTCGTCACTGGGTATGAAGATGCAGTCAGTTACCTTTACTTGGAATTTTAAGAGAAGAATTTAAGGTCGGCTACGTGGATACAGTCGACTTTTCAGCTGTTTTCTTGAGAAAATATTTCATGTTTTTCTTGCTAAAAATTCAAACAATTGAAATATTTGAGGAATCGCAGGCTTTAGTTTAAACGCCCGGGCGAAGGCCAGGTTACCCTGAAGTCTCATTTTATTTTCTGTTGCTACTGATTCTGTTGCTACTGTCGGTTGCTTCCAGGGATGGACGTCGCCTCTTCCCAGTCCTCCTGGTGTCCTGCCAATCGGTGCCTGCAGAGTGGCCCTGGGCGCCTGCCCTGGGGTCCTAGAGCGATGGTCCTCAGCTTCTCTGAACTTCTTTCCTGCAGGATACACGGGGGCCCAGTGTGAGACTGACGTCGACGAATGCGACAGTGACCCCTGCCAGGCCCGAGGGGCGTGTGTGGCGCTGTCCTCAGGGACGGAGCACGGACGCCTTGCTCGGCCGCCGTCTTCACCCGGCCGCCCAGACGCTCCCGGGTATGTCTGCCTCTGTCGGCCTGGATTCACAGGTGAGGCCCAGGACAGGTGACCACAGAACTTTCTAGCATTTATGGCAGGGCATGCATTTAACCAAACGGACTGTTGGCAGGGAGTCTGTGCTGCGTAAACTCTTGCTATGGTGCAAAGGGTCCCCCTTGTGGGCAGGAAAAATATCTTGTTTCACATACAATAATCCCTCGAATCATGAGGAAAATGTTAAAAATGGGAATAGAAGAGGCATATGAAAGCGGAAAATATTCATATGCGTTATACTCGCAATTGGAGCCTGACTCAAATTCTTTATCTCATAAACAGGAAATGTTGGAATTTTTATGTTATTACATTTTATAGCGCTGTTAAATTTTAGTGTTATTGAAATTTGCTTTTAAAAAGTTAACGTACTTATTTATAGTTACACTGAGGACAGTTATCTAGTTTCAAGTAATCTTCCTTCACGATTCTAAAGCTAAAGTGGTTCCAGTATATCAAATTTAAATGGCTTTTTCTATGGCATTCTTACTTTAAAACCCAGAGGAAATTTTCATGTGTGTTTTCTAGCGATTGGTTGTGTTTGCGTCTGCTTCTCCACTGTGCAAATGTTCAGAAGTTTGGTGACAGTTCCCGTATTTGGTCGTGAGTGACAATTTATCTACAGTTGTCTAGACGCCATGGAGAAGATTAATTACGATCAGGATTTTTACCTTATTTCTTTCTCAATAGATTAAGTGATACCTGCGGGAAATATTTCAGTTGTTCTTGGGGATTTCTGAGAAATAAGAAAAAAAAGGCGGTCTATTTATATTTAGTACTCCCTTCTTTTTAATGTATCAGTTCTGAAGTTTAATGATCTTTGATTCACGACGGCGTTTGCTCTAAGATTGCCGTTAGAGACGTTATTTCCTTATTTACTGTCCCCTCTGCGAGAACACAGGAGAAAGGCCTCTCCAGGGTCAATGTCAGGATAAGTAGTATTTTTTCTAACAACTTCTAGCTTGCATGCTTTTGCCCTTAATAAAAAGCATGCAAATAAATCTTAGAATACATCGTATTTCCCAATCATGCAGGCTGCGAGAAATCTTATAGGTAAGCTTGGGTTCTATGAACATATAGCTTTTTCTGGAACATATTTATGTATTTACTTCACCCCTGGGATTATTTAAATTTCCTGTTTCTGTTTTTTAAGGTTCTCTTTTTTTAAAAAAAAAAAAGTTTCTTTCTAAATTATTTGACCTTGGTAGAGTATTTTTGTCAGCTACTTTAAATCCTTCTTGGAACAAGGTAGGAGGGGTTATAAATTTTTTTTTTTAAATGTTGGATTTAGGGTCATAAAGAGGAGATTGTATCAAAAGTCAGAGGCCATTACTAATATTGCCTCATCGGATAAGAGGATATGCTTGACCAACGAATCTGTAAATCCTAATGGGAGAGAGGCAGGGGAATGTTCCAGAAAATTGTGTTGGACTTGGTTTCTAAAGAGCTGCCAAAAATAGCTATATGAGTTAAGAAGTCCTGGCTGTCCCGAGTCTCCATGGCGTAATGAAAAAGTTTATTTTTCACTCACGTAAATTCCAAAAATGGCTTATCATGATCAATTGACCTCCAAACGGTGATACGGGGTCATAGGCTCCTCACGTTTTTTTGTTCGTTTGTTTTGTTTTTGTTTTTTGTTTTCAAAATGTGACTTTCAAGTTTAGCATGCTCTTCTGGAGTGAGCCACTGATGGAGAAAGAATATGGAGCATGGCATCTGGGTGTTTATGGGCCAAGCCCTAAAAACGGTGAATATCTCTTCTACCAACATTTCTTTGGTCAGATTGAGTTATACGACCACATTTCATTGCAGCAAATACAGAAATCTAGTCTTGCCGTGAATCTAAAATAAAGAGAAAACGCGTTTCATTAACAGTACCCGGTTTGTCACGACAGCTGGAATGGGAGGATTGGGGTACACACTTAGATCGCTAGGTGTATCCTCATACCTACTACGGCACGTATTTTTCAACGTTTGAATATACTTTTCCTTATTTCTTTTATTTTTTTAAATTAAACTTTAAAAAAAAAAAAGGACACTAGTAGATTCATGTGCCGTTATGCGAAATAACCCAGGGCGGTCTTGTGTTATTCTTCTAGAGAAGGAGGTACAAACGAAGAGAGGTTGGGGACATGGAAAGTGAGAAATGGTAAAAATACGGGTACGAGGAGGCAGAAAATCCTGGGGAGAGGAACCAAGTTTCTCCGAGGGAGGACTAGCTTTACCCAGGGTTTCTCCTGGGAATTCCGGCAGCAAAGCAGGTCACCGTGGCCCAGTCTCATTCCGTGAGATAACTGAGAAGAGTCTCACTATCCATTTAGGTATTTTAATGATAAGAATCGACACTTGGAAACTCACGTGTTTAGATGCAATAATGGCTGCTATTGTCTAATTTCCCCAAATCATGAAAAACTTTTCTTTTGCCAAATATCTTTACATAACTGCCACGGCAATTTTGTGCCTATTGCCAGTAACGTTCACACTGAAATGAGAATAGCGTGTAAACACTTGATTTAAAAGGTTTATACATTCACTTAAAGCTCACATATCCATACGACTTTAACAGCAAGCTAAATAAATCTAGAATTAGAGAAGGCCTGTGGTTGAATAACACTGTTCAGTTCATTCCAAAATCAGTAAATTATTTTTATTTTGTATGACCACCCTTGACCGTTACTGGAAGGAATGTTGGCTGCTTCTTTCTATTATGTTTTAGCTGTCCAGTTTAGGGCACTGGACGCAGTTTTAGGGGTTTAATGATGGAAATACAAGGTCTCTTCCCAAAGGAAACCGAAAACAGCACGGGGAAGAAGATGCATAGAAATACAAGACACTATAACTGCCCCAGTGAAACCATAAAAAGGTACAGTCAGATGAATAAGTAAAGAAGACCCGTTTAGGCTATTTATGCCAGATTGAATTTCGTGGAAATTATAAGAATCCGAACAACTCAATAAGTTAGCATTTTTTTTTTTAAACACAAATGACCATGTTGCTTCTAAAAAATCAAGAAAAGGTCCTATGACCTGTGTACATACTCTCAAAGCACTCTGCTCTAACCAACCACGCTGACTTGGAAAGAAGTGAGTCATGTTTTGAATGTCAGCGATTTGTTTCTGTTTATCAAAACGTGGTAGCGATAATACCTTTGACAAGTTTCCCAACTGCCTCACAAGCCAAGTCCACTTCTCAATGCTAAGGCTCACTCACCAACGCCAATTAGCGTTTCGTCCGACCTTATGGGTATCTGGAATGCTGCTACATTGTTGTCTCTGAGGCTGGTTTTCTTCTGCTTCACCCATCTGCTCCCTGCATAAAAAGAACTGAGGGGTGCCGCGGGGGAGCCTGTGAAGTCCTGGCTTCAAACCTCAGGCAGAAATAGTGGGGTTCTTAACAATGAGCACCCCGATGAGAGCCACCTGGCAAAGCGACTGCACACACGGGCTCCATCCTCAGCGTCATCTGCTGCCGGCACAGTGTTGTTAAAAATGAAGCGTTCGCTTCTCCTTAGAAACTAGATCGTGCCATTTTACCTAAATCCGACCGAAATAACTGTAGAGGGACGAACACGAAATATGAAAGTGTCGTCTATTGATGAAGCCATGAGGCATATGGGACAGTCAATAGCTCCTGCCTAAGTTTTCGTAGACTTTATTCATTTGCTGACTTTTTGTTTTAGGCTCATTGTTCTTAGAGAGACCTCTTTCCCCCTAATTACGATATCAAGTTTGAGAGCCTAGTTCTCAAGTAACACGAACAGAAATCGGATGCTTATCTAAAACTGCGCATCTCTATTTCTTCACCTCTAAATGCCGGCTTTCCCTGGGGACCAGGGACTTCTCTTTTCCACGTGCACCGACTCTCCTGGGCTTTAAATCGCTCATGACATCAAAATCTGTATCTTCAGCTCCATGCCCTCCTGAACTTCCTTGAACTTTTCCACTTAGATGAAGAAAACCATTTTCAAACGTAACATACCGCAGACAAATGTTTCTATTTTCTGCCTCCGCGCATTCCAAAAAATCAAAAATCAAACCAATGCAAACGAATGACAACGAAACCAACAACCACAAGACGACGATGATAACAAAAATACTTGTCCTTCTCCATCTCAAGAACGCTAACAGGTATTCCTTCAGTTTGTCAGGGCAACAATCTAAGACGCATATTTATTTCTCTCTCTCTTCAATCACACATTCAATTCACCTACCAATTTCGTCAATTTCTTAGTACCAACTCTCTTCTTATCAAGAATTTTAAGATCGACAAAGAAAAACAAATGCATCGTAAGAGCTTAGATTTTTGTGAGAAATCGTTTTGTTAAAAATGAAGTCCTTTGAAATTCGATGGACCCCTTTTTCATGATCCGATGATGATGACGATGATGATGATGATGATGATGATGATTATTATTCTGATGGATCATGCCAAATCTGCAGGGGTTATTACACTGGGATTATACGATCATTTGTGCAATAAAGCACCTGATGATGATGATGATGATGATGATGATTATTTTGATGGATCATGCCAAATCTGCAGGGGTTATTGCACTGAGATTACAATCATTTGTGCAATAAAGCACTGCGTAGTTTAAAGCAAGATTATCTTAGCTCTGTGTCTGGTTTTTCTCTGGCATCACTTTTGAGTCGAGTGAGTATTTTTATTTCATTGCTTTGTGGCAAAAGTAACTTCACCAGTTAAATGTTTTAGCAGTGCTGTCTTTGTTGAGTCAGCTTCTCAAGGAAGGGCCGTAAGGTTTTGTTGACATCTAACAATGTTTTGGATTGTTTTTTTTTCCGTTTTGACTTCTCTGGTTTATCTCCCACAGTGTGTGGGAAAAAAAAAAAAAAGCTAGGATAAGGCTGTGCGCGGCTAGGCTTTTTTTTGGCACATGTGAAACTTTTGATGCTTTCCAAGTATCACACGACGATGCACGTGCTGGCCAATGGTACAAGATTTTTAAAGTCCAGCCAGACAAAATTGCATGCTCTCCACA